CCGACGGTAGGTAGACGTGTAGATGTCGCCGACGGTAGATAGACGTGTAGATGTCGCCGACGGTAGATAGACGTGTAGATGTCACCGACGGTAGATAGACGTGTAGATGTCGCCGACGGTAGAAAGACGTGTAGATGTCGCCGACGGTAGATAGACGTGTAGATGTCGCCGACGGTAGATAGACGTGTAGATGGTACGACGGTAGAAAGACGTGTTGATGTCGCCGACGGTAGATAGACGTGTAGATTGTACGACGAGGTCCGCTGTTGATGACGAGCGCAATCGTCTTCTAGAAAGCAGATCCAACACGCACTGCATCCATCTTCTCATATTTCATAGAAGGAATCTTTCTATGAATCCTTCTAATAGGATCCTTCTATGAAATAAGGAGGCGCCAGACCGTGAAGGCACCGGAACGTCAGAACAGTGACCTTGAACTGCGTGCGCTGTTGCATGCGCAGCCAGTGAAGATCGAGCAATATCGGCGTCACACGGTCGAATTTTCACTTATTGTACACGGGTCGTCCAGCAGCGTTCATGGGTTAGGTTAGTGTCCCTTATGCTCCGCTACACTGTTGAAATAATTACCGTTAACGGTATTACCGGCGTTTCAGTGGCCGGTCGGCACGTGAAAAGAAACACCGTGTCGCCGTTTTTATTCTAACTTAACGCTAGAAATCCGTAGAACATCTGATAAAAACGGCGAAACAGTTTATTTCCACGGGGCGACCGGCCACTAGAACGCCAATGGGACCGTTTTTTCGCCGTTTTTTCTAACAGTGTAGTCTCAAGTTGGTGAAGATTAGAAAGGTGGAAAATTGGCGATAATAAATTAAAATAATACTATGGACAACTGAAATTATTTCAGTTGCCTCCCGCACAACTTGATGCTTCCACAACGCTAATATCCCCAAGGCATCTGACGTTGAAATGACGTTCATTAATAAATTTATGACGAATATATTTTCGAAAATATTTCCCTTGACGGTCCCAGACTCACAACTCGACGTTTGACGTTGGAGGAAGGGGTTAGTGTCCCCCATTACTGACAATTCGACGACAATATGTAAATTTTATATTTAAAGAATCATGATGTAGGAAATTTAAATAAATTTAATTATTAATGTTCATGAATTGTTGGACTTCCAACTTTTTTTCAAAATGTAAACGCGTTATAATTTTCATTCCGCACTGAATAGTATACTCAAAGACATCTGCTCAGAGGAGGAAGAATCTAAAATTAAAGATTATTGTGTGGAGATAAGAGGGAAAGAGGTTGAACCAACACGCCCAATTGATAACAACTTGGCATTGAGGGGCATCAGCCCCTTAGGACAAACGGAGAATTAAGCAGAGGTGGGCAGTAGCGGTGGCGGTAGCAGCGCTACATTTAAGCAATTGTAGCGGTAGCGCCCGCTATATTTAGAGCATGTAGCGGTAGCGGCCGCTACATTTCAAAGTAGCGATGCCCAGCTCTGGAATTAAGGTTGAGGTAACAACTTAAAATCAACGTTATTCCAACGTCATTTCCCCTAATAGTACCAGACTCTTAACTTGACATTTAGTAGTGCGTGGGTGGGGTAAGGAGGGGGATATAGTCCCCCAAATACTCACAACTTGACGTTGGGGGGCATGGGGTCCCCCCTGACGTGCACGACGTAGGAGAGGTTCGTCGTCTCTATGACGGTTGTGTCGCGCAGTCTGACGAGGAAGAAGGGCTTCTTCTCGGCCAACTTAAGAGCCCGCTCCTCTTCCGACACTGGGGGGCAGGGGGGACGTCAAAACGGGTCAGAATGTACGTCAAAACGGGTCAGAATGTAAGTCAAAACGAGTAAGAATGTACGTCAAAACGAGTAAGAATGTACGTCAAAGCGAGTCAGAATGTACGTCAAAACGGGTCAGAGTGTACGTAAATTTGTGTTGACCCACAATTGGGTCCCCGTGACTCAGCTCCTACGTACCACTTGAGCTCGGGGAGCGGGTACCCCGTGACTCAGCCCCACGTACCACTTGAGCTCGGGGAGCGGTATCCCGTGACTCAGCCCCCACGTACCACTTGAGCTCGGGGAGCGGGTATCCCGTGACTCAGCCCCACGTACCACTTGAGCTCAGGGAACTGGTATCCCGTGACTCAGCTCCCACGTACCACTTGAGCTCGGGGAGCGGGTACCCCGTGACTCAGCCCCCACGTACCACTTGAGCTCGGGCAGCGGGTACCTCGTGACTCAGCCCCACGTACCACTTGAGCTCGGGGAGCGGGCATCCCGTGACTCAGCCCCACGTACCACTTGAGCACGGGGAGCGGGTATCCCGTGACTCAGCTCCCACGTACCACTTGAGCTCGGGGAGCGGGTACCCCGTGACTTTGCACTCGAGGAAGGCGGACCCGCCGGCCGCGGTGGCCACGTCGGAGAGAGGCTCAGCGACCGCGGGGGCCACGGGGTCCTTGTGCAGCCTTTTGACCGCACCTGCGGGGGGAGGTGGGGTGGTTTTGGGGGTTATTGTGAGGGGTAAGGGGGTTTTAATGGGGGACGAAGGGGAGTTATTGGGGAGGGATGATGGGGTTATTGTGGTGATTGTCGGAATACACTAAGAGAAATAAGTGGGATTTGTCCAAATAACGATTCACTTCTTACTCTTATTTAGGGGATCGTTACCTATTTTGGCACGGCAAAAAAAATAACTACCTGACTCCTCAAAATCAGCAAATAGGGTGAACCCTATTCTCATGTTCATCCCAGCACTGAATAAATCACCCTATATTATTCTAAGACATGAGTGGACCCCAGCAAAGAATTTTCCCTTGACAGTGAGCTCTGCACTGCAGGATATCTCGTCCTTAGGGTGACCCAAAACATTGTAATCACTCTTAAAATAGGACTCAATGAACAATATTACCAAGTTTTTCTTAGCTTCGTTTCGTGTCTGTCTGTCATCAAAAATTCAGACCTTAATTTAGAGCTCTTCTGAACATCCTAGAAACTTGAAATTTGGCATGCATGCTTATGCTGCCTGACAATTCAAGATTTGATCATCAGAAGTAATAATTTAATAAAAAATGAAAAAAATAAAAAAGTGAAAAAAATAAAATTTCACGGTTGGGAATCGAGTTTTTTGTAGAACATCCAGACTTGCCAACCCTATAAATTGCTAAAATTGCTAAACAAAAAGTAGAAAATAAATAAATATAAAAACAATTTTTAAAAACCACGTTTTTCTGGTTTTTACCAAACTAAAATTGATGAAATAAAACCAATGAAAAAAAAACTTTTAAAAACCTCGTTTTCTTAACGGACAAAAGAGAAAAACGCCATTCTTACATAACATTAGAGTCATGTAAAATGTTATGTAATGTTATGTAACAGTAAATGTTTTTCTTTTATGTCCGTTAAGAAAACTTGTTTTTTAAAAGTTTTTTATTTGCTTTATTTTAACCCCTAGGTTGACCCACCAACCCTAGGGTTCAACCTCAGCGAAGGACTCACCTTTCACAGTGAGATCTGCATTGTAGGATATCTCGTACTTATGGTGACCCAAAACATTGTAATATCTCTAAAAAAGATTTACTGAACAATATTTTAACCCCTAAGTTGACCGACCCACCAACCCTAGGGTTTGACCCTAGCGAAGGACTCACCTTCAACAGTGAGCTCTGCACTACAGGATATCTCGTCCTTAGGGTGACCCATAAGGTTGTAATCGCTCTTAAAAAGGACTCAATGAACGATAACCCCTAAGTTGACCCACCTAAGTTAGTTGACCTAAGTTAAGTTGACTAACTCAGTTGACCTAAGTTAACTCCTAAGCTGACCCAGAAACCCTTGGGTTTGACCCTAACGAACGACTCACCCTCAACAGTGAGCTCTGCACTGCAGGATATCCTGCCGCAGGAGGTGGAGGCGACGCAGGTGTAGAGTCCTGCGTCCTCTGGAGTCACGTTCTGGAACACCAGCGCCAGGGTATCCTCCGAGTCCTGAACGAGAGGCAAGAAAATCAAGTTATTGTCTTCATTATCAATTAATAGTTTTATTTAAGTTCTAATTAAAATTTAATTTTTCTAATTTAAATTATAGTAAAGCACGATTAATTACATTTGAGTCCCCGAATTTTAAATCGACTGTATTAAACTGCAAACTTCATTAAAAGGCTGCGGAGTTTAAACAGAACGTTAAAGTATTTTTTGCACGCATATTTTACGTAGTTTAACCGGAACATTTAACTACATTTTACCTACACTAGTCTGCGGTGTTTAGAACGAATAGTCAACTAGCTTTTACTCGCACAAGTCTACGGGGTTTGAACCGTACATTTAATTATCTTTTACTCGCACAAGTCTACGGGGTTTGAACCGAACATTTAACTATCTTTCACTCGCACAATTCTGAGAGTTTGAACCGAACATTTTACTATATTATACCTGCACAAGTGTACGGAGTTTAGAATGAACAATTAATTTTCATTTATTATCATTGGTGTTCGGAGTTTAAACGTAGCATTTAACCAAATTATTTTCGATTTTATCTAGTTTTGAAAAAAAAAATTCTTTCACACAACATCTTCATTCATTCCATACCTTAACAGAATATTTGAACATACAAGTTTTAAAATTTTATGCACAATTTTAAATACGTGCAATAAGTGCAATAAAGTAGGTTCACCTAGGTTGCCCCGGATATAACTGTTATAGAACCATTATATAATCACTACGGAACAGGAGTCACGTTCTGGAACACCAGCGCCAGGGTATCCTCTGAGTCCTACACGAGGGGCAAAAAAATTAACGTATTATCTTCATTATCAATGAATAGTTTAATTTAAATTCAAATTAAAATTGAAATATGTCCTGATCGAGGGGAAAAAATGAACTTATTATCTTCATTAGCAATTAATAGTTGTATATAAGTTCTAAATAAATTTTTTTTAACTATAGCAAAGTACGATTAATTACATTTGAGCCCACGAATTCTAAACCGAATCCTGAACGAGAGGAAAAGAAATTAACTTATTGTTTTCATTATCAAGATATAGTTTTATTTAAATTCTAATTAAAATTTCTTTTTTTTTTCTTTCAAATTATAGGTGAGCACGATTGTTTAAATTGCCATCAAGTCCACAAATTATAAATCGAATTTATTAAACTGCAAATTTTATTAAAAGATTACGGCGTTTAAACCGAACATATAACTATATTTTACCTATACTTTTATTATTTCTTTTATTTTACCTATATATTTACCTGTATAGGTACCTATATATTACCTATAGTTATTTTACCTATATATTTTACACTATATTTTACCTACGCAAGTATGCGGGGTTTAGAAGGAACATTTAACTATATTCTACCTAGACAAATTCACTGAGTTTAAACGAAACCTTTCACTTATTTTGCCGACACAAGTCTACGAAGTTTGAACCGAACATTTAACTATCTTTTACTCGTACAAGTCTACGGAGTTTGATCCGAACATTTAATTATCCTTTGCTCGCACACGTCTACGGAGTTTAAACCGAAAATTTACCTATATTTTAACTAAACAAGTCTACAAAGTTCAGAACGAACATTAAATAATTAAATAATCATTTATTTGCTAAGGTATCCGTAGTTTAAACGTAATATTTAACTATATTATTTTGAAATTTATCTAATTTTGAACAAAAAAAACTTTCACAAAAAACCTACGATCATTCCTTGTTAAAACAGAATACTTAAACATATGTAGGTAGAAATTTTTAAATTTTATGCACAATTTCCCATACTTAATGATGGGATTATAAATCTAACCTAACCTTACTTAGTAGTGAGCGTTGAATTATTTGATATGGTCACATAAAAGGATATATAAAGGGTCATATAAATGGTCATATAATAGGGTCATATAAAGGTATATATTTATATAAATAAGGGTTCACATAAAGGGATATATAAGGGATCGTTTAAAGGGGTAACCTTTACCTTATAGTGGACGTTGAATCGCTCGATGGGGTCGAATTCTTGACCATCTCTGAACCACTTGAACTCCGCCTGTTCCCCGGCAGCTAACAGAGACCCTTTGCCGGTCAGAGACTCATCTAAATAATTAATTGAAATCTAAATAATTGACTGAAACGGGTACTATAATTCATTAATTTTAAATAATTGATCGAAATTAATACCGAAATTATATAATTGTAAATATAACTTATTGAAACTGATAATAAAATTATAAATTGTAAATAATTGATTGAAATTGATACCAATAATATATAATTCTTTTTGATTTTGAAATTACATAATTTTGAATAACTAATTGAAACTGGTCCTAAAATTACATAATTCTAAATAATTGATTGGAACTAATACCAAAATTATGTAATTGTATGTATAACTGATTGAAACTGATACTAAAATAATAAATTCTAAATAATTTATTGAAACTAATACCAAAATTTTATAATTCTTAATAATAGATTGAAACTAATATTAAAGGTATACAATTCCAAATATTTGATTGAAACTGATACCAAAATTACCTAATTCTAAATAATTGATTGAAACTGGTACTGGAATTATAAAATTCTAAATAATTTAGTGAAACGATACTAAAACTATATAATTGTAATTAATTTATTGAAATTCATACTAAAATTATATAATTGTAATTAATTTATTGAAACTGATACTAAAATTGTTTAGTTTTAAATAATTAATTGAAACTGATACTGAAATGATATAATTCTAAATAATTGATTGAAACTTAGAATACAATTCTATAGTTCAAATCATTTAATCAGAACTGATATGAAAATTATTTAATTCAAAATATTTAATGGAAAATTCAACATAAATGATATTTCGGTCGGAAAAATTTAATAAGTCATTAAATAGGATTGATTATAAATGTATTTTAATTCGAATATTACGCAATTGCTATTACAATTATAAAAATTATTGATAATTATTAATAAATAATTATTGATAAATAAAAATAACATTATTGAAATTGATGAAAAATACCAAACTAGAAAATAGTTAAAAATGAGTTAATATAGTTAAAAAAAGTTAAATAATATAAAAATATTATTTTTATATTATTATAATAGTTAACTATTAACTATTATATTATTATTATATATTAACTATTATAATATATTACATATTATAATAGTTAATATAGTTAAAAAATAGTTAAATAATAATAATTAATAAATAGATGGCGTTGAAGAACGTAGAATGAAGCATGTGAGCTAACAAGCACGTGTATCCTTAAGTCTCTCCTACATTCATGCCTCGACACGTATCTGAACAGCTATTATTACATGTACACACATGCACTAAATACGTATGCACGTGCACTAAATACGTATGCACGTGCACTAAATACGTACACACGTGCAGCACATACGTACACCTGCTATATGCACCCCGTTCACCATACGTATCATGAACATACGTACACCCTTAACTACTAGTACCCCTTTCACCTAGTGAATAGATGTACCCCTTAACTACTAGTACCCCTTTCACCTAGTGAACGGATGTACCCCTTAACTACTAGTACCCCTTTCACCTAGTGAACAGATGTACCCCATAACTACTAGTACCCCTTTCACCTAGTGAACATATGTACCGCTTTCACCTAGTGAACAGATGTACCCCTTAACTACTAAGTACCCCACCCCATAACTACTAGTACCCCTTCCACCTCGTGAACAGATGTACCCCTTAACTACTAGTACCCCTTTCACTAGTTCACTTCGCGTACCTCGAGTATCACACGTACCCCGCGTACCCCACTTACCCATGACAGTGATGATGCCCTGGCACGAGGCCTCGCCGTGCACGTTGATGGCCGTGCACGTGTAGACGCCAGCGTCGGCACGTTGCACGTGGCGGATAAGTAGCTCGTAGTGTCCCTGAGATACGTCGCTCTGCAGCGTGACACGAGCGTCCTGAGCCAGCAGAGCCCCGTCCTTGTAGCTGTGGGGGGTAGGGGAGAGGGGTTAGGGGGCTGCGCGTGGGGGGGAGGGTTTGGTTAGTGTCCCTTATGCTCCGCTAGTCTCGAGTTGGTGATGGTTAGGAAGGTGGAAACTTGGCGATAATAAATTAAAATAATAAATTGGACAACTGAAATTATTTCAGTTGCCTCCCGCACAACTTGACGCTCCTACAACACTAATATTCCCAAGGCATCTAACGTTAAAATAACGTTCATTAATAAATTTATGACGAACATATTTTCGAAAATATTTCCCTAGACGGTACCAGACTCTTAACTTGACATTTAGGTGCGTGGGGTAAGGATGGGGGTAGAGCCCCCAAAATACTTACAACTTAACGTTGGGGGGCATGGGGTCCCCCCTGACGTGCACGACGTAGGAGAGGTTCGTCGTCTCTATGACGGTCGTGTCGCGCAGCCTGACGAGGAAGAAGGGCTTCTTCTCGGCCAGCTTAAGAGTCCGCTCCTCCTCCGACACTGGGGGGCAGGGGGGGGGCAATTAGAGGGGGTGTATTGGGGGAGGAAGAAGGGCGTCTTCTCGGCCAGCTTAAGAGTCCGCTCCTCCTCCGACACTGGGGGGGGGGGGGGCAATTAGAGGGGGTGTATTGGGGGAGGAAGAAGGGCGTCTTCTCGGCCAGCTTAAGAGTCCGCTCCTCCTCCGACACTGGGGGGCGGGGGGGGGGCAATTAGAGGGGGTGTATTGGGGGAGGAAGAAGGGCGTCTTCTCGGCCAGCTTAAGAGTCCGCTCCTCCTCCGACACTGTGGGCAGGGAGGGGGGCGTCCGGTGGTCAGCGTAGAGGAGAAATGGGGGCATTAGGGTGCTGTATCGAGAGCATAGGGGTCACTAGGAGATCTGTGAGGTGGTGAGGGGGAGGATACAGCTGGTAGTGTTCAGGGGCCGTATTATCAAAACTTCGTAAGTACGCAAAATCGACTTACGAGTGGCGTAAGTGCTGACTTGATGACGTAACTCTAGAGGTGGTATTATCAAAACATTTGCGCGGGAAGATACGTAACGTAACTGTACGCCTGCTCGGAGATGTCGTAAGTGGAGTTCCACACAAGTTTAGAGTGTCTGCTGAAGCGATAGGAAACTATTGATTTACTAGCAAGTAGCAACACAGTGAATCGTGATAGAATTTTATCAATAATCCGACATATAATATGTGATCGTGCTAAACGGTGCTTCTGGGATAAAAATGTCAATTGCCTTTTGTGCTATAATTTACAAGCAAATGTTGATGTTCGTATCTTAGAGTTTTATGATCATTCATTTGAACAATATCTTAATGCATTTTTGATTCAAAATTATATTGAGGTTGACAAGCCAACCATTTTTCTAGTTCTCTGTAAACAAATTTATTTCTTTTTATGACAATTCCAACTCACAAAATTTTCTAAATTCTTTGTAACCTTCTAAAAAATTATTCTAATTTTTAATGGGAATAATGCATTTATTTTCCCTTATTGCAAGAAATTTCGGTTAATGATCACAACAAGTGCATTATTATTTGGATAACGTCTCACTCTTTTATCCAAATACACCCTAGTCAGGCACCGCACGTGCCGCTGACACCACACATCCTGCTTTCGTCCAAGCGCACTGCGCACTGGTCGGGAGGAGCTATAGGAACAGCAAATCCAAAGCCTCTGATTGGTCAGTTAGCCAGATGGTTTTGATAATATGCTGTTAGCTAAGTCTTGCGTACGAAAGTTTCGATAAAGCCAAAATTAGGGTGTACTTACGTAACACGTAACTTGTTTGTCGTAAGTACAAAAAGTTACGAAGTTTTGATAATCTGGCCCCAGGAGACCTGGGCCCATACTTTCAAAAAAGTTAAGAGATCGTAAGTTCATCAGCCAATCATTGACAGCCTTTCAAGCAAAATCCACCAATCATAGACAAGAAAATAGTGCGTAAGTACTTACGTTCACTTAGCGAGTTTTGAAAGTATGACCATTGTTGGTAGGAGATCTTCTATATATACTCACGCTCCTGCACCAGCAGCTGGGCAGAGCAGGTGGCAGAGCGGCCGTCAGTGTCGGAGGCCTTGGCCGTGTAGATTCCAGTGTCCTCGGGACGACAGTTCAGTATCTGCAAGTTACACGATAATGATGATACATAATACCTATAATTCCGATAAAAATACCGATAAAATAATTATACCGATAAAAAATATCGAGAAAATAATTATCATTTACACAATAATGATGATACATAATATCGATGATTCAATACCTTAAGCCTTACGATCTTGACATTTTTTAACTATCCGGCAATATTGTGTTCAGTATCTGCAAGTTACATAATAATGATGATACATAATACCTATAATTCCGATAAAATAATACGAATAAAATAATCATACCGATAAAATAATCATACCGATAAAATAATCATACCGATAAAATAATCATACCGATAAATGAATACCGATAAAATAATTATCATTTACACAATAACGAACTACCGATAATTTAATACCTTAAGCCTAACAATCTTGACATTTTTGTTGTTCATTTATTTTTGCGTTAGATTATTAAGCACAAACTATTTACAAAAATAATAACAGCCAGAAATTTTGTCCGGTTTTCTAAGCCCTTTCTAGTATTGTTATCGATCATGTCTGGCAATCGTACAAATTATGAATATATTTATATATAAACACAAGTCAATCAATAGAGAGACGAATTGGGGTCAATTATGCGACATTTTCGCGTCGTACAATTACTCGCTTAATAAATTTATGCTCATTTATGTGACAGAAAAAATATGAACGATATACCGCGACATACTTTTTCACATATGCCTCGTTAGGTTAGAATTAGTATTGTGATAAAAAATTTTATACAACTCTGAGATAATTCTACGGATGTAAGGTCCGGGTAGAACAGCTCCCTTTAAATTTAATAGCTAATTTAAAATATTGACTAATCATATTCGCGGTTTTCGAATTATCACTAGTTTATACATATATAATATAATTTTTTATCCATGCAAGTTTTATTGAAGACCAGAGCGTATTTCTTATTAATTAATAATAAAATCATTAATGAAAACTACGCTCTGGTCTTCAATAAAACTCGCATAAATCAACAGTATATACATATATAAATTAAAATAGATGCCATATATATTATTCATTTATATTTATTTCCATTATTATTAATATAGATCCCAAGGTGGGCATATATATATTTTCTGACCTTGAGCTCGTGACGGTTGCCTTCGTCGGTCTGCTGGACGCGGTCGGCCAGCTTGTCCTCCAGCACCTTGTTGTCCTTCAGCCATGACACGAAAAGCAGAGAATTTTTTAAACTCTCCCTCAACTTCTCAAGTTCATTTTTGAGTCCTATAACTTTATAAGTAGACCAGTAAAGTATCATGGATACCAACATTATCATACTTAATAAATTGGTTTAAATCTTGAGTTTTTGAGGAAATTAAAAATGAACTGATATCAAAAAAGCTCTGGTTTGCCACTATGGACTCTAGGCCTACCAGTACTAGGCCCGACTCGGGCCTAGTACTGGTTCCTCCTGGACGTTCTTGATGATAAGAGACACCGTGTCGTCGTCCTCGTACATCTGCTTCACACGGCCGCCCACCTTCACGTCCAGCCCGTTACGGGTCCTGGGGGGGAGTGGCAGTTATCAACGGGTCAACATGGACGTCAAAACGGGTCAGAATGTGCGTCAAAACGAGTCAGAATGTACGTCAAAACGGGTGTGAATGAACGTCAAAGCAGCCCGAGTCACTACCTAGTCCATAGTGTCTGATAGTGACAAAGCAGAGAGTTTTTAGACTTTCCCTCAAGTTCATTTTTGAGTCCTATATTTAGACCAGTAAAGTATCATGGATACCAGCATTATCATACTTGAGAAATTGGTTTAAATTTTGTGTTATTGAGGAAACAAAAAAGAACAACTTCCA